AGTCTCACGGCATTTCGTGTAATAGTCAAGAAATTAATGTAATCTATTGATTCGTGTTCACCAACACGATTTTCCCTTTTTTTCGTGTCACACAAAAGCAATGTATTTCTATTGGTAGTGTGTTTCGTGCCTGCACCACGTCTTTTTGTCCGATCGGGTCTTGGAAGACCAGAAGCTGTGAGGTTCATAAAAACATTTTCTTACTCAATAAATGGCACAGAGCCTCAGAATACTGAAATCTGTATTTTTTAAATCTTTTTTTCCTTATAATTTGTTATTATTTGGTGCAGACACGAAACATACTACCAATAGAAATACATGGCTTCTAAAATCGTTCTGTGTCAGAATACTGAAATTGTTTTTAAAATCGTTCTGTGTGACACGAAGAAAATGGGGAAATCATGTTGGTGAACACGAATCAATAGATTAATTTCGTGACTATAACACGAAATGCCGTGAGACTGGGTTGACTAATCCATTGGTCATCAACCTTGTTTATAAAATCATTACATTATAGACTGTTCAGTGATCTCTTATTTATAGCACACCTGATCGTTTCCATGTCTCACAAGGAAAATAATGAATATAGGTTGTTAGGTATTTTGTTAGAAACAGTTGTAACTATAACTTGGGATACAAATTAGCAGGTTATTGTTTTGCCACTAATGTGAGATTACGATCCAGTACACGTTTTATTCTATGTAAAATACATAGATCAGGGTAATAGTATAGAGTGTCTAATGTACATCTGACTTAAACAGTGCGCCTTGGAAGTCACTTTATCTTATGAGGACATAATATATAAGATGCAAATTGTAATCACTTAAACAACCAGCAGAGGATGATCACCTCAGGCCAGACTGACAGGTTGTTTATGAAAACCCCTCTTGGGTCTACTGAAAGCAATGAAAAGCAATAAAATCAACCAGTCTGGGACACGATAAGGACCAGATGGCCAGCTGCTGAATGCTAGCTGTCTTCACTTCTCTGTTGATTTATCCTTTCCGTCTGCACTTCACTTGCTTTTTCACTTAGGGATGAGGAATCACTATTCCTACCTCAAAACTGACAGTCACCTCTGGGAAGCCATCATATGATTAATGACTTTGTAAAGCTACTGGAAGTTTGGAGACGGGTCAAATTTGGTGTTCACTCCAAATATGTTTACAAAATTCCTCAATGTCAGTGTTTGTTTGCAAGGAGGGGTTCTGTGACGAGCAAAAAACATGGACGTTAGCCATCCAAGGTCCAAAGCAGCAAAGTATCGCCTCTCTGGGGACAGAGGGTTGACAGTGATGAAGAATAGATGTTCCTCCAAGGAAAATAAGGAAGGGCAGATTATGGAAACCTCCTGTCTCCTGATGATATGCTATGCCTATGCTCTTAAGACAGACGGATGTAGAGAAGTATCAGGTATGTGTCAAGGGACCTTGATACATTTTGACATCTCAGAAACAATATTTATGTTACATTTTAACAGTAACTGTGCACAATAATATAATACAAGAAGCCAATTAAGTGATATTCGTGTGTCAAGTAGGACTTTCGACAGTCAGGCCTAGGTGGATCAAATCAAAAACTGTATCCTCCAAAGAAAAATGTCTTGCACTATAATTTCAAACTTGCTATAGGAATCGCTGACAAGTGATTAAAAATGAAAAGGAGTAGACTTGATGGCCCCACTGTGGATGCCCTTGACCCATGAAATTGAATGTGGTGTGGCTATAAATTCACCAACAGTTGAGAACCTGTGGCTTTTTAACACCCATCACATTAGTGTGAGCCTGAAGCCCATAAAAAAAGAACTAAGTGACTCTTCTGTGGTTGGCAGAAAAGTTGCAGAGTCACAGCATGGCACCACTACCAATTATCAGCTGAAAAACACAAACTCAGATTCAGCAAAGATTTTATAGCTGGTCCCATATGGACCATGGTATAGTTAACAGTTTACAACGCTTGATTAACTCCTTCTGGCAACGTTTGGTGTGTATGGTGAGTATTGGGGTTTGTTGACAGATTAAAAGCCCTTTGTCTGCATCCAATTCAAACAGTCTTTAATGATATTTTCATCAGAGATCAGAGTTAGGGGAAGATAAAACAAATTAATGTGTGATGTAGTAAAGAAATTCATGACAAATTAATAAAATAAATCAAAGGGTTTGTACTTTATTAAAACATTTCAGCTTAGTTTCGATGATATGTGAATTATTAGCGTTGATTAAACCGCTGTCACAGAGAGACGCTGTGATTCCCCCGTGTATAATGTGCAGTACACATTAGTATGGTAATGTTTTTGATGCAGCCATCATATTGTAAACATTATCTGTTTCTACAGTGAAACATGCTGTTCGCTATCTCCCACTCCTGTGCAACTTCAAGAAACTGGCTAGCACATGCTTCAGTTAAATGCTTCCCCCCGTTTTCACAAAACCTAAAGAAAACGAGTGCAGATCATTTCTCATCGATCATGTGTCCCATTACACTGAGATAGGTGGTTCTAACTGATGTCCAGTGGTTTTCAGTCGATATATGTAGATTGTATGTTAGATTACGACTATACAGTATGAGTTTTAATCCTTTACGGGATCCTCTTAATTTTCCTTTAGCGTCTAGGAAAAAACATCTGCAGAAAGAGCTCTCCGTTGCAGGTCTACGGAAGAGGATTGGGGCAGTTAAAGATGGTTTTGTGACAATCTGACACTTTAGTTTAATAATGACTTTAGTCTCTTCATGGACCATGCTGGCAATTTAAAAAAAGCTACATTAAGGAACGACTCGGTAAGTGATTTTTATTAACATGTTAAAGTGTTTTTAAACTGTAAACTATATTCTTTCATGGTTTGATTAATACCTTTACTCTCTATCTAGTTTCACATATCCAAACAGAAACAGGTGTTGTTTGTACCCAGCTAGGCAAGATACTTTACGTGACTACTTCTCATAACAGTTCCAAAAATAGAGCGGGAAAGGAGTTAAATATAGTTCATGTCATTTTATTTTGGATTTGATGACTCTGTTAAAGTGCACTGTTACTTCTGGGTTGTGAGAGTGGTGTACAGTTGCCCCGATTGCTCAATACAACCTGAGAAGCAGTAGCTCTGCACATTCGGGCAGTAATAGGAGAACTGATAGCTATCTAGATGACGCTGTATGTGAAATGAGTATTTGTGTATCCAGGTTTTGAGACTCATCATTTAGCATATATTTCAAAATGCATCCCTTTTCCCATTCTTCTGGTTAGGTTCTTCATTAGCAAATACCTCAATTTTGATGCAGAAAATGTCAAAAACAGTGAAACAGGTGGTTAAAGAGACAGCTGGCAATATAAACCATTGCTGACCTTTTAAATAGTGTTGTCACATGGTCAAAAGATGATCATCAGTTAGTCCTAATTACTCTGATGTGCCCCTTGGAAGACGAAGGCAGCATGTAAAGAGTAGACTCTGCTGCTGCACACATTTCTGGACACGAGCAACTGAGGAGCACGTATCCAAGAGTGAGAAGTATCAAACAAGAGCCCATGCAGGCAGGAGTGAGGGGAGAAGGGTGAAAGGAGGGACGGGGGTCCTCACTGGCATTTATCCCCTTCCCAGAGGCACTTTGTAGAGTGTTGGCTCTGAAGCAATACTGAAGCCATCTGTGGGCTCTCTCAGCAGAGGCCACGTAAAACAAGACGTGTGCTGTGGTTTGACCTTTCACGGTCCTAACTATAATATTATCATAAGACGAGAGCTCTGATTGCACTCGTCCCTGCGGTGGGATTCGGTGTCCATATGAAAAGGCGATGAGTGAAAACCTTGCGTGGCTATATGTTTTCCTGTTATCCAAATGTGGTAAAAGGACATAACCACATTTTCTCCAATTAAATCCCGTGTTTAGGTACCACCACTTCTTGAGGTTTATAGAACATTTCTAACTAATCATATAATAACTAATCATCCTTATAGCTTTGCCAGCCATCTCTTTTTTAAAGTTTTAAAGCAAAGTCTTTCCCCACAGGAAACATCACGCATTACTGAGCACCAGAATGATGCAGTAACAGACTAATGTCTTTAGGAAGTGGCACCACCACAAATTAGCACAGTGTCAAGGATTTTATAAACTTTGTGGTTGAAATTACAGTGCAAATCTCTAAAGCATTTGATACAGCTAGGGGTAATATACAACTGTCAATACTAACGGCCGAGCAGCTGGCACTCATTGAGGGAAAATAATTATGGGTAGTAGCTGGCAGTGTACAGTGGCTCCGAGCTTGCCAATACCCATTCCAATGGTACCACAATGAGGCTCAGGGGCTGCAAGAGACCCTGGCTTTGGGACCGAAAGAGTCAGGTGACACTGTGGGTGGAAGACGCTGTCGTTAATCCAAGAAAATGCAAACTATGCAAGAAATCAATTTGCAAAACCAAAACACAAATGTGTAATAGTTGGTACCCTTGCAAAGAGCAAATCTGTTTATGAACTAGATCATTGTCTACATTTTTTGTACATCCGGACTAATTTGTATTTAGTGGGGTTAAAATAGTATTTCTCTGAGCCATCTTCTGAAAAAGGTTATTGGATTTACTTTTGTTGCACAATTCAAGGAATACTTTAATGGTACATAAATTGACAATTGTTACCCCGCATGTGTTCCTTTGAATTCTTGTAGAACTTATTTATAAAAAAACTTTTGATGGATAGAAGAAACTATTTCAAACACTTCTGCACCTTTAAGTGTGACCAGACCAATGTCTTTTCTTTACAAATCTCTAGGGCAAGATTGACCAGTTACCTGATAAAAATCTATGAGAATCGGGCTGTTTCAACACAATCATACTATACATTCATATAGTGAATAACACACACCTGAATCTGGTCCTCAACTATTGGCGACTGATGTATTATTACTTAAATGGCAGACTGTGTGTATATTTCTTTTTGATCACTTTAAAAAAGGTCACAATCTAAACTGTGATTATCTGTTCACCAGAGCAATCATAACAGCTTGGCTCCAGCAGTTCTGTCAAATAAAGTTATTTATTGTGAAATTAAAGAACAAAATGAAAAGCACAAATTGTTAAAAAATACGGTCTTTTGTGGTCTGTTTGTAACAATGTTGGACATCATCTGAGATAGAAACATATCAAGTAGCTTACATTGAAGATAATCAGCTGCGTTAAAATGAGACAGCTGGATATTGCACTTCTGTGATTTTGTTATTAAGATGTGTTCTTACAGCTCTAAAGGCTTCAGCAGAGCTTTAGCCTCCTGGTCAGTCGATGGGACATCAGATAGATGTTGGAGAAACGGTCGTCCATGGATGCAGCTCTGGCTGCTCTCTCCAAGCTGCTGATCCATCCTTACGAGAGTTTCCTCCACATCCTCCCTGGATAAATGTTTAGGTAACTGACGGGCAAGTCGTACTGCTTCACCCTGTGAATCACAATTTAGATATTTAATAACATAAATACCAGTAATGCCATTTGTTATTAATGTATAGCATCTCTTACTTGTAGGTAGTTTTTGACTTTAAGTGGCCGGCACTCTTGCACGGTCTTAGCCTTCTTGTGAAGAACTGCAGTCAGGATCTCCCTGAGGTCCTCCACACCGAGGAAAGGCACGCAGTCTGCCATTCCTGTCACTTCCAGATGTCTCTCGTCTGAGGTGAGGCCTGGCCAAAACAAGCAGAAAACAAGGATTAATATACTCCAGACGCCACTACTATCTCCAGGAAAGAATAATAAATAAATATTGTGGTTTACGATGGGAGTGATGACCAAGTTAAACAAGCGAGGGGCCAAATGGAGTGTTAAATGACTAATAGAAGCCCCAGGAGACTGGAAGGAAGTTGTCTTGTAGGGTAGAAGAATGATAGCTTCTCATTTCATGAGGAAATACTGCAAATCATGAACGATTTATATTTCCGATACACGTCTTTGGATGCAAAATGAACTCAGAATGGCTTGAAAAAAAACCTGGAGAGGCAATTAAAATATTTCCCAAATATTTCTGTGCTGCCTGGCATAGTCTGACACATTTGCCTTTTAAAATGTGTGCAAAGAGTAACACTTTTAATTATTGGGAAAATAGCATGTTAAACACAATACAAATATTTACAAATTGACAGTATCTGCAGGATCACATTATACACAATACAATATTACTGGATAATAAACAATATGACATGTAATATAATCATAAGAAATGGACAAGATACAGTATGCAGCAGAGATTGTGCTATGAAACCATCTTACATGTGCCGCTACCTTCACTCCCATGCACACCCACCGAGGCTGGCAGTGCCAAATGAAAATTCCTTGAATATCTCAAAGGGCAACCGTTCTCATCACCTGCACACTGGGGTACCGACCCACTGTGAGCGCACTCTGTCAGGCAGAGAGCCAATGTTAACTGAGGTGAACCGTTCCAGCAATAAAAAATAACCAACACATGTCATAATTATACAAAAACAAGTTTAATTGGAGGTGTTCTGGTTTATTTGTCCGTTATATTTATCATTTATATTGACCTTACTTTTGACTTTGTTTAATACAGCCTATACACTGTTTTTTGCAGAGCAATCCGTGAATAAACATGAATAAATTGGATTTGGCTTTTATAAAGAGAATGATGACTTCTGAACAATTATTTGCATATGTTATACTTGCAGCAATGTTTTAACTGGTTGTTTAAATGTACCAGATTATTGGTAAGCATGACTGAATCTCTAAATGTTATGTCCCTAAGATAAAAATACATGTGTGCGCATAAAGATTTTGTGGTCAATGTACATGTTATGTATGGTTGTAATGTTTCAAAGTTATTATGACATTTGCCTTGATCTATTGTAAAGACAAGGTTTACATTGGTTGGTATTGTTCTTTCATGATTTACAACTTTGCTTATTCATCATTTGATATTTTTCATGATGGACATTCTTTTTAAAGGAATGGAAATGTTTTTCCAAGACAATCAGGAATAATTGCCTGTAATCCAGTTACCTGAAACTGTATGTTTGACTTTTCTAAGTGACTGGTGATAGGCCATCCATGAGATCTTTAAACAACGTGATTTAGAAGAAAGGCTTGTTCTCATATTGATGGTGGGAAACGATTCATAGTCAATCAAATAAGACTGCTAATATAGCAGCATTTGGTAAACATTTATTTACAATGTACCTGGAGTGAATTGGATTTGAAAGCCATTAGCCACAAGCCTAGGATCAGAGAAGAGGGCCCCTCCGTGTAGCTCAGGGCTTTGTTTCTCCATGTTGCACAAAGCCTCAGTATATTCAGCCCCCCCGAGACTTCTACAAAGAGAGACAAGGTGAGGTTTAACAAACACATTAGGGAAGCCTTAATAGAAAAAAATGAAGCAGGATTTTTTTTCCTTAAAAATAGTCTGAAACATACATGTATGTAAAGAAATTGGATGAGTTTGCAGTTTTCTGGAAAAAACAATTCAGGCATGACATTTTGCTGGTGAGAAGTGAGTGATACGTTACCCATCTGCTAACGGTATAGGGGTCTGCAGACTCACTGCTGGAAGTATATTATTCTCAAGGAGTCTCTTAAACAGCAAGCTTTCCTCCACCCGAAATGGGTTTAACAACATGAGCCTCTGACCACATAAAATGACCCAGGCGCTGTGAGAGGACAGCCGGTTTACAAGACGGACGCCCCGTGGCACTGTGCTGCTCTGGGATGAAAGGCGCTGGAGCTGCAGCCGAAGGGCAGCTATGCTGCAGGGGAGGGGCTGCGAAGACTTCAGTGCAGGGCTCCTCATCTTCTTTTGGGGCTGTACAGAGAAGAGCTCATCCAGCAGCTGCTGGTTGGACAGTGGGGCCTTGCGTTTGTGGCCCTGTGCATGGCCCCTTGGGCTGCTCACACTCGTCTCTCTGGGGCCTTCAGCAGAGGCCAACCTGGTCTTCTGGTCATGGTGCTCCAGATGTTTTTTTGCCTTCTCCTCATACCTGCAGAGTTCAACCAAGTATTTTAGACTAAAACCTAGACTAGTGTTGAACCAATTTGGAATCTCTCCCAATTTCCTTCCCAGCAAGCACTGATTTGGAAATGTATACAATAAAACATACCCAGGCTTCTAGGTAAAAGCTAAATAAAAGGAACTTCCCATTTCACACATGAAGTTCGGTTTGATCTTAACTACTCAATCTGCAAAAACCGTAAAATAATGTCTCCTGTGGCTCTTTTTTCCAAAGTTTGAGAGAAAATACCCCTTAATGATGTCATCGGGGTTATCTTGGATTGAATGGCTTGAAAATAAGTTTTTGACAAGAGCCAGCATTGGATCATTAAAGTGCAGATACAGTAAAGTCCAATAATACAAAATCAGGATATCGCTTCTTCTTCATTTCCACTGATCTTGATTTTACCTTTATTTTGTTAGGCTACCAACGTTATGGAAGTGCAACCACATAAACATAACTTGTAACAACTATTCTGTGTTAAAATCGGCAGGGGGACACAGCTGTTAGCAGACGGTGGTCAGCTAAGTTCTGTAAACATTATTTCAAAAAGTAAATAATAAAGCTAACAGCTGACATTGTTAGAGGTTCCGTTGAGTTGCATTACGATACGTTCAAGCTCTATTAAAAATGAAAATTGGCAAATTATATTGCTGTAAAATGTTGTTTTTGTCAATACAATATATACATATTAGAAAGAGAATTTTGACCTGGTTCATAACACTAGTTCTAAACATCTTGTAATATATAATTAAACAAACAAAAATAAATACAATCATTTATTCACTAACCATTTGAGTTTTGCAAAATACCGCTAGATGACAATAGCAAAGTCAATCATAACATTCCAAATCTTTCTGACTATACATACCATTTTGTTCCTGTTGATAGGTTATTATTACATTTATTTTCTACAGTTTAGCAAAGCTGTTAAGGAGCCATCTGTTGATGTCTACAATTTATAAAAGGAATATATTTATAAATATAATCTTTTACCTTGTTCTTAATAGAGAGCTTTCCTCAGCAAATCAGTATTCTGACTCATGTTTCCGTGGATGTTCATATGTTCAGCATTAGAACTTACACTTCAGCACCCCATTATTCTAAGAACCTGTTTCGTGAACTCGTGCAAGTGTAATTCCTAGAAGTGGTCAGCCACTTAACAGTGGCGATGAAAGGAGCAAAGTCCTTGCCACATCTTATTTCATGTTTAAGGCAGCCGTACGTCGAGCCAGGATTCCAAACAGATGTCTTTTTCCATACACTCTTCGATACCTTAGGCCCCAACTAGTGCTGATGCACATTTTCCAACTTTGCAATTACTTTAAATTGGTATGCAGTAATCTAACATAATTAGGTTGAAGCGCGTTCAGCGCGGTATAACGGTGTTGTTCCATGATGCAACTTACAGAGTAGCTGAGTGGAAAGAGATCAGTAGGAAGCAGTTTGTGCTTTCTTTTACTGACATGGCATCTGGACTGTATCAACAAATAACGATGACACTGTCAAGATTCACCTCTCTCCTAGTACATTATACGTATTGAGACAATTAATTGATTGAACCTTAAGCATGGAATGCGTGCTGTGCTATGCTATTTGACCTGCGAATGGCACCAGTTTGTGAATGTTTTGTATACTTATCTGTCAGACTCCAGACGGAAGCAAACGCAGATTATGAGCCTTGATAATGACACTATACTTACAACAATACATATTTATCTGATCATCATGTTTTATTTTTTTGTTTGCTTATCAAACTCCATTCCCGTCATACCTTCATCATTGTAAATCCCTTGACCCTGAGTGAGCAAGGGTCAAACACAAACACTCGCTACCTCCATCTGTTCTGTGCCTAATCTGTTCGTGACTAGCCAACTATGTGTCACTCCTCAAACATACCACTTGTAAAGTAAGCATAGTTGAGCTTTGCAATACAAAATGAACTGGAACCTGGGAACAGGACATTTAGATATTATACTAATGTTGTGCTTTTTAAATTAGAAATGAAATATCATATATAAAAAAGGGAATATTTAGTTTATATCAGCTAATGTCTCTTAAATCTAGTGTCTCTATGGATGTCTCTGTTCAGGGATCATTGTAGGTTTAGGAAACAAACACACATTCACTCGGTTTAATAATCTTATTCTTATGATTCTTAATACTTTGGAAATAGAAGACATTTCACGATTAGTGATATCTGCCATACTGCGGAAAATGTCATCTACCCTAGCTCCTATTAGATGCGGTTGTCTGGAAATAAAAAACTACAGCTCGTATCAACAGCATTTCCAGACTGGGCTTTTACACATGCAAATGACAGGTCAGACTTTCCCCCCTTGCTCTGCCTTGCAAATAACAAGAAATGGAAACAACTGCTTGGAAAGGTGAAGGTCTGGAAACTCACTTCTTACGGTCTTCCTCCCTCAGATTTTTCCACCTCTCCTGAACTGTGACGCTGATATCCTGCAGGCTGGCTGTAGGTTTCTCCCTGAGGACGTCTGTCCTGGCCTCCTTCTCGAACAGGGCGGCGGGGGTCAGTGGTGCCCTCATGGCGCGGTGGCTGATCAGGTCGTAGGCCGTCAGAACGGCCCGCTTCTCCGTTATGGCGTTGAGCATCTTTTTGTTTGGGCTGCCATGACTCTTGGCCTTATCTGAGTCTGAATGATTGTTCTTTAAAGGTTGGTGGATGCTGACGGGCTGCAGGGGTTCACCCGATACAGGGTCGATCAAAGCCGCCCCTCGGCTCCAGTCTTCGGCAGATATCTCGTCATTTCTCGTGTCTGCACCTGACACAGCAATGTCTTCAAGTCTCTCAGGGGACTTGCTTGTAGTCTGGGCCGTTTCATCGTCATAGAGAGAAAAGCTGGAGTCGAACCTAGCTGGGATCTGGTTTACAATCCAGTCCTCGGCTATGGAGGATGAAGAGCTGCCGTTTGAGGTTGGGCGGTCCATTGAAGCTTCAGTGCTCAACGGAACTGTGTCAATGTGTTTAGGTGCATCTTTGAGGTAGGTCTTCTGTAGCTTGGTGAGACTATCATCCCTCTCTACACTCTGTTCATTGTCCGGTTGTAAAGCCTCAGTCTGCGAAGGACTGGACGGTGTGGAGGATGTGTGATAAGCGAGCTGCTTCGCTTTTGGGGCATCATTACACCGATAGCCATAGAGAGAAACTAGAAACACCTCCACTGCGGTCAGCACAGCCTCCTACATTTCAGATGGATCACAGAGCGTAAAAAACTAATAAAATGGCACCAAAACATGTTCATCAAGGAACAAACATTTCTACGCAGATGGAACACCAACAGTCAAAAATAAGGTCAACATAATACATTCAGTCCGCTTGCGGAGAACAACATAAATAGCAACATTACGTGAGTCTGTTATTTTTTACATGATAAAGACTGTATTTTAAATATAAGACTCTATGTTTAACATTTCTCTACCATGATAGCAAGCTAGAAAGCTTTTTCACTCGTAACGATATTCACGATTATTCCAATAATTTACCACATCTCATCTAATCTTATTGCAAGTGATTTTTACTGTGATCTGCAATCAAATATTATACAGCCCCATTCCTACTTTATCATGAGTGAATTGACCTCCGACCTAATTCTATCCAAACATACTGAAATCCATAGCTACCTTGTTATGAAGAAGAACCTGGGTCTTGTCCGGTGTCAGATTGACATCGACTGAGTTTGGTGCAACTGTAATCTTAAGCATGACAGTGGGATAACGGTTTCGCGCTGAGTCATCTGGATACTGAGCGGTGTAGTGTTGACGCAACAACTGATGATCCATCACAAAATCCAACGAGGAGATGCAGAGGTTTTTTTAAATAAACATAAAAGAATGGTATTAGAAACAAAATAATATTCTTTGTATGGATTGTTTTGTATGGAGTTATCTAAAATTATTACCTTCATTATATCTTTGTGGTGGACAGGCCGGTTGTTGACGTATATAAATGTTGTGTCCGGGTTAGAGGAGCTTGTAGAGGAGTAATCTGCTCCAGGCTTTGGAAAAAAGCCCTCTAAAACAATCTAAAAAAAAAAAAAAAGGTTTATGATCACAAAGTCAGTTTCATATACAAACTTTCCAGTAAGGAACCTTGACATTATTAAATAACTAACATTATAACTTTATCATCATTACATTTTCAATCAGAACGGCACAGTTGATCCATTCTGCTGACAGCACAGCTGCACAGCTGGGAAGGAAGCCATTCATTCTGCTTGTGCGCATGCAAGTCGGCACTCAGCAGCAAGAATGGCATACCAACATACACTGTCACGGCATAAAGAGGACGAGTAGTACATCTTAAATCCCAGAGAAGCTCACTACACTCATCCCATCAACTAATTTACATTTCTGTTGACATTGGGTTAAAATGTACCTATTTCTAAATGTCGGATCAAGAGGTTATTTCATATAATTGCCAGAAAAAGTTTTTTGAAAGAAAAATTCATGACCACTACTTTCATTAAACTACAGGGTTTTATTCAAATCTGGTGTTATTATGTGTTGCCTATAAAAAATTGAAATGCCTTATAAGTTTGAATTTTGTGTACATGAGGAAGATAGTTAAACTGTGTATTTGTATGACTGAAGTTGCCTTAAAATCCATATTTTGGGATATGATTTATACTACAGTGGGGCAAAAAAGTATTTAGTCAGCCACCAATTGTGCAAGTTCTCCCACTTAAAAAGAGGAGAGAGGCCTGCAATTTTCATCCTAGGTACACTTCAACTATGAGAGACAGAATGGCGGGAAAGAATCCAGGAAATCACATTGTAGGATTTTTAATGAATTAATTGGTAAATTCCTCGGTAAAATAAGTATTTGGTCACCTACAAACAAACAAGATTTCTGGCTCTCACAGACCTGTAACTTCTTCTTTAAGAGCCTCCTCTGTCCTCCACTCGTTAACTGTATTAATGGCACGTGTTTGAACTCGTTATCAGTATAAAAGACACCTGTCCACAACCTCAAACAGTCACACTCCAAACTCCACTATGGCCAAGACCAAAGAGCTGTCAAAGGACACCAGAAACAAAATTGTAGACCTGCACCAGGCTGGGAAGACTGAATCTGCAATAGGTAAGCAGCTTGGTGTGAAGAAATCAACTGTGGGAGCAATTATTAGAAAATGGAAGACATAGAAGACCACTGATAATCTCCCTCGATCTGGGGCTCCACGCAAGATCTCACCCCGTGGGGTCAAAATGATCACAATGAACGGTGAGCAAAAATCCCAGAACCACACGGGGGGACCTAGTCAATGACCTGCAGAGAGCTGGGACCAAAGTAACAAAGGCTACCATCAGTAACACACTACGCCGCCAGGGACTCAAATCCTGCAGTGCCAGACGTGTCCCCCTGCTTAAGCCAGTACATGTCCAGGCTCGTCTGAAGTTTGCTAGAGAGCATTTAGATGATCCAGAAGAGGATTGGGAGAATGTCATATGGTCAGATGAAACCAAAATAGAACTTTTTGGTAAAAACTCAACTAGACGTGTTTGGAGGAGAAAGAATGCTGAGTTGCATCCAAAGAACACCATACCTACTGTGAAACATGGGGGTGGAAACATCATGCTTTGGGGCTGTTTTTCTGAAAAGGGACCAGGACGACTGATCCGTGTAAAGGAAAGAATGAATGGGGCCATGTATCGTGAGATTTTGAGTGACAACCTCCTTCCATCAGCAAGGGCGTTGAAGATGAAACGTGGCTGGGTCTTTCAGCATGACAATGATCCCAAACACACCGCCCGGGCAACGAAGGAATGGCTTCGTAAGAAGCATTTCAAGGTCCTGGAGTGGCCTAGCCAGTCTCCAGATCTCAACCCCATAGAAAATCTTTAGATGGAGTTGAAAGTCCGTGTTGCCCAGCAACAGCCCCAAAACATCACTGCTCTAGAGGAGATCTGCATGGAGGAACGGGCCAAAATACCAGCAACAGTGTGTGAAAACCTTGTGAAGACTTACAGAAAACGTTTGACCTCTGTCATTGCCAACAAAGGGTATATAACAAAGTATTGAGATGAACTTTTGTTATTGACCAAATACTTATTTTCCACCATAATTTGCAAATAAATTCTTTAAAAATCAGACAATTTTTTTTCTTCTTCTCACTAAATAATTGTTTGCCCCACTGTATATGCTTCATAAACAGTCAAACCAGGACAAAAGTTGTGCAGTTGACAGAAGGACAATACAAAGACTAATATTAAACTTGTTCTCATAGTAAGCAGTTTGTAATTTCCTCTCAAGTGTATCAACTTTCAGGCAAGTCGTATATGATCACGTTTCACCTAAAATCTTGCCAGAGCCACTCTTCATGAGCTGAAATTGATTAACCGAATTACAACTGAACAATTGCACCTAAAACTGAATCATCATCATCCTGAATGTAAGCTAGTAAGAAATGATGGAAGGCTATTAATGCTCTACAGATTGCAAGCGGCATAGCTATGCCTTTTTTCCACCTTGCCTAGGGCTCATTATTAGCAGCAACGCATGCTAATGAAGTTAATAAATGAACTGCTCTTTCAGGTCGGGGCACATGTGCTTCTCTCTATTTCTGCTCATTAGGGTCACTTTATGAGAGCACGAACGGCACCTCTGGCCCCAAAGGACCGTGGCTATGTGAAGTCATGCTGCCAAAAACGAGTGTCACATTTTGTTCTGCAGTAGAACGGCTCTTAAGATTCTCCCGGAGCGAGGCCCCGGTGAAATTGTCAACCTGGTTCCCTTGATCACTAAGCTTTGGTGCTGGGGACAAAGAGGACAAAAGTTATCTTTCATTGCTACAGGGAGTAGGAGGAAGAGGTGAAAGGTTGTTCTCATAACTGGGCTCAGAGGTGCAGCAGCATAATAACAACAACAAAGAGAAAAATGAGAGAGGGCTGCTCCATATCTGTCAGAGTGGATTAACTGGCAGCCTGGCAGCAGGTACGAGCCACATGACATCTACCGTGACCAAGCAGAAAGTTACTGCTCGACAATAATTTGATTATGACCAGCGCAGCAAAGCTTAGCTAACACAAATCTCTCACTTTTCATCAGAAAATAACTCAAGAGAAAAGGGCAAGGGAACAGTTGGCCAGCCACCAACTGACCACATGTGCTGGCTGCAGACCAGGCGTTCATGATGAGCTCACGGTCAAGTATAACGTGCATGCACACATTTGCTCTGCGAAATGTATCAATCTTAACTAGACATTACATGTAATATTGACAGTTATATTAAGATCTTTATAAAGCAAAAACTATTTGTCAAAATGACTTCAGGAACATTCCTGAAATAAATAAAATCTGTCCCAATTGTTAAATTGATTTGAACCTGAAAAGGAGACTGACGTAACATTAAGATGGATTTGAAAAATGTGCTTTTTTAAGGGGGCAAGTTTGTTTATTATGATGAACTACCATAATTGCCACACAATGAAGGGCAAAGGGGCATGGGAGCCTCTGTGTGAGAGCAAAGAGTGCAAGTGGTGTAGTGGAGGTGTGTGGGTCGGCAGCTTACGGCTTTGTGCCAAATCAAATAAAATGTTATTTATATAGCACATTTTTTAAGCGATTTTTGGTCGAGCCGAAGTGCTGTACATACAATAAAAACACTTTACTACCATAGCAAACAGAAGACCACAAATTACAACAGCAAAAATCACATACAGGGAAATGTCAGGAGTCGTGCTCCGCTCTGACTAGAAGGCCAGGGAGAAGAAGTGAGTCTTAAGTGTAGATTTAAAAACCTCTAGGGTCTGGGCCGACCTCACAAGGAGGGGCAGAGTGTTCCAGAGCCTAGGGCCAGCTGCTGCGAAGGCTCGGTGCCCTCGGGTTTTGAGCCTGGTCTTGGGCAATATCAGCAACAGCTGGTCAGCCGACCTTAAAGCTCTGGCTGGGGTGTAGCGATGGAGGAGTTCTGCTAAATAAGTCAGCCCATTTAGTGCTTTAAAAACAAATAAAAGGTGCAGTGCAGTGAGGCCAGAATTGGGGTGATGTGGTCAGCTCAGCCGTGCAATGTGCCTGTGACGCTTATCTGTCCGAGTGCATTGCACTCCAAGTAGTCTCTTCACATTCACGCCACCCTTTTCTTAAGAATAACAAAGGTGACTTTGACCATAAGACAGTCAGACAGGTTTAAGGAACATTTCACCTCCGAAATGATCATTTTTATATAAATTCCTCACTCTGTGTTCACTCTTACTCACTCTTAGATTATACTGCAAGAGTTCTTTAAAAGTTTGTAAGCAGATATTTTGACATCGTTTTTTTTTTGTTCATCAAGGATTTTTCATTCCCCGTAGAGGTATGCAAGAAATATTAAGAAATCAAGGATACATGAGGGTGACTTCCTGATATATAAATGGTTATTTTGTGGGGGAAATATATATCAAACTAACTTATCAAAAATGTGAAATAATTTTTGTAGCTTATGTAAAATTTGCATCGCAGCCAAAGAAAACTTTAACAAAATGTATTTGCTATATTTCTCTCTGACCTCAGCATATTTGCCCTTAACTGACCTCTGGTTGCTCTTGGCGATGGTGGCAAGGGAGCAGGTTGGCAACGGTGCTGGCCCCCAGTGTAGCAACGAGGGCACTTCTGTGATCGGCCACCTTGGCCTTCTGCCAAACCACTATCTGCAAACAATATGACACCAGTCAACCTCCATAAGTCCACATCAGGCGGATCACACAGCATAAACCCCCAGTCAAGTTAGTAACTGCAGCAGCACACATACCTGCAGAGCATACATTTTGTTTCAGTCATGAGCTTCAGCAAGAGACACAAACACCAGCATGGACAGAAGCCTTATCAGAGCATGTGAAAAATGTAAGGCAGGGAACATTAAAGACATGCTAAAGACAATGTTGTTCAAGTGAAAATTAATGGCTTTAAACAAACAAGAAATAAACCATGCTTTTATTTCATATCAACAAGAACTGTTGTATTATTTACACTTTGAACACTATTCAGCAGTAGAAATATTGGTGTAGATACAAATATTAATATACAGAAGTGTTAAGCATTACAACTGTGCACTCTGCTTTTGTTCGGGGGCAAATTAAGGTTTTTACTTATTTATTTCATTTTATGTGTTTACATTTATTTTGTTGTACCCCATGTTAAATCACTCCTCATAAACCACTTGTATACAGCTGCATTTAATTCCGCTGATTTTGTATTTCTTTTTTTTAGCTATTTATTTACTTTTATGACTGTTGGTTTGAATTCATTTGATTGTTTTTATATCAATATTTGACATTGCACCTGTAGTTCTCGATTTGCTTCCTGACACTTTGTATCTTTTCCCATCTTTGCTCTGTTTTATGCATATACAACACTTTGTAACTCTTTTACTGAAAATACATTTTAGAAATAAAGTTATTATTTAAGGTCATAATTATTTTCCTAAGCATTACAGAGAATATTGACCCCCAGGAGTTAGCTTATGTCCACCATTGAATATATTTTGCGGGTGTTGATTTCTAAAAGCATGCACTCTGTTGCAGGGCATGTCTCGGCTATTAAATACGCAATTTAGCTCATGTAAATGGATCACTCCTGTAAACGGTTTTTCAAGAAGCTGTGAAACACGACACAGTACAAATAGCAGAGTTGGAGATAAGGGATAGGGGCAACAGAGTGCTGATTGCACCAAAAAGGTTCACTAGCTTCTTCTGAGTCTGATCACATTCAACCTGATTTCTATGAAAGTTATAAGGTGGTCGTTTGGCCCCTGTGTGACCCACACCACACCACTCCTGTGGCTGCAGCTGAAACCGAATCTGGGGTTAAGTGTGCAGCTGTGTTCAGCAACTTACTCAGGCGTCATAATCAGAGTTAACAGTCAGTAATGTTTGTGTTCGGAGCACCTGACAGTTACGCTTAGCTGCGGTGGGAAAGAGCATAAGGGATGGAAATGTGTAATTCCTAAATAGTTCCACAGCTAATTCATCTTATTGTGAAAAGTCTGCAAACCAGGGCGAAGGTTATTAAAAGTAACCAAACAAAACTGGCCTAAAATCATGCAACCTAAATATACTTCTAATGATAAATAATGACTGGTGTTTAGGTTGATGATAAATGCTGTCAACACAATTGAACATTGTGGAATATAATGCATTTCTTTGGTATGTGTGTTAGTTATTGTGAACTACGTCACCCAACAATCAACTTGTTTATTGGCTTTCCATTCACTAAAGGACATAAACAGTCCTTAAAGCTACACTTCATATGTTGCAATTTAGAATCACTTTACGTCAGAGAGTTTTTTATGAAGGAAAATGTGTCACTGTTCCCTGTGGAGTCAAACTGAGTGGTTGGAAAGATTCATACATGTCATCATTATACATTAGAGCTGCAACCTTAGTTTACTAATGGTCAGTTGACACAATATTAATTGGCAACTCATTTGATAAACGATTCTTGTGAATACAATTGTTCATGCCCGAATCTTAAGAAATACTGTTATTAGCATCTAGAATATCCGTGCACATCCTTTCCCAAAATATTTCACATTATCATATAAGTGAAGTTTTCACCGGGAAACATCGTATGACAAAATGGCATCATCAAGTATTTGTGTCCCCCCAACCCATGTGTCTTGTTTTTAATGATTAGTTTCATTGATTGATTTACCACATTAAAAACAAAAACAAAAACAAATGTCAATGTTTCTAATGCAGCGCAAATGCAGATAATTTCATGCAAGTTATTTCTCTTAATGTATTATGTTGTAAACATATTTTTGACTTCTTTCGAATGTTTAGTATAAATATCATTATTATCATTATTATTATAAGAAGTGGTAGCAGTACAGTTAAAGTGTAAAGGACCAGAACTCCTTGGATTCAAAACTTGTTTTCCTCCAATATGAATTACACTTGTAAAGTATGGCATTTTACATGTGCTTGTACACATTGGCATTGTCTCAATTAAGACCACACATACATCACTGTGCCATAAATATATGGCATATGAACAAAAACTGAGGGAGATTTTGAGCCAGTGATGTGGGAACAGTCATTGGAAGACTGATGAGGACACCTTGTGGTTGCTGTGCGTTAAGGACAACACACAGTATGAGAAGTGATTAAAATGTATTTTATGTGTTCTTTAAACCAATTTTCCAAGGCCCCAGCCACACGAGGACGATAACGATCGTATCCGCTACAGTCCTCCATCATATAGACGGTTCGGCCACACAAGGCCGACATGGAAACGCATATAACGATAACGGGTCCCAAGGTGGGTAGATCTGCAAACGAAACGCTCTGGGGGGGCAAACGGCTCCGTGTTTACGCCTATACGATCATGTCCTGATAACGTTGAAGCAATAGCCCCGCCTCTCGCACCTCTCCTGCTCAGAGATCAGCTGCTGGGCTGTCAGAAGAGGGGGAGGAAAAGAGAGGCTCCGTTTTTTATTCTTATATTATTATATAGTCGTTATTCATTTGTTTTAAAGCCCAATAAATAACAAAGAAGACCTTTGACCGGCACTTTTCTAATTTTGTCCGAAAGATTTAAACTTTAACGGACATGTTGACCGGCAAAAGAAAAATCGAACTGACACTCTGCCGCACGGTTCCCTCGTTCCTTGGAAGAGGTGGAGAGGTGGGTGTTTGTCATCTGCTGGTGGCAAACCGGAGAGATATACAGCAGGAGCAAACGCTTACTTCGGGGAGGGAGAAAAAGAGCCAGAGCGTCCACAGCGGAGAATAAACAGAAGGGCAACCATGGCAACCATGCGCAAAGTCTTCTTCGCTGCTTTTCTGGCAGGAGTACAGCGCCACTTACAGGCCCGGCATATGTACTACAGCGTCTCCGGCGCTTTCGAGCGGTCTCGTGTGAACGGACACGTTTCTGGTGCCTATTGCGTGTGGACGGAATACTTTTTTGGTATCGATTTCGGTCCGTTTGCGTTATCGTCCTCGTGTGGCTCCAGCCCAAGTGTAATACCCTTAACTGAACGGACTTGAAAGGCAACTATAGGGAATGGAGACTGTAGTCGGGAAAATCTCAACACTTGCAGTAAACAGTCAGAAGACAGTTGACAGCCAACACATTCAGCGTCTCTTGCTGATCTTGGCTACATCTTCTTTGTCTACATATTAGCATAAAAGAATAAAATATCCCATGGTCCTTTTTTGTTTTGATCGTTGGTCATAGGACTGGCTGTTGAAGCCAGCAACATAACAGTACATACAGACCTTGTTTAAATAGTTTAAAGTGAAAATGGATAACTAATGTGGCACGTTTTTACAGTGGATAAGATGCACTGCAACGTCCACAGAAACTCCTCACACCACTCCTGATGTATTATCCCCTCTTGCATCTCTACGCTCAGATTAAAGACCCAGATACCAGTGTACTGTAGCTCTAAGTAGGACACAGCAGTGTATTTAATATATTTTAAGGAAATGATGATTGCCTGTAACGCACAGACAGCTAAATTGTGATTAATGCTGTGGCTTGTTTTTGGTTTGAAACTAGGACAAATAGATATGTTTTTTTATTCAAAATTAAATCTTTATTGTAACTTATATGTGGGTTTTTCCACAGTAAAAAATATTTTGCTACCTACATAAAACCAAGCTGACCAAAACTGCCTTTATCCCTGATGTACCGAACTACAAACCTTTTAAGTTCACCTTTCAAATCCTCAGTGTTTTATACTCATTTTTGTAAAGGCACATCACTTTGACGAATGAAAAATAAAATGTATTATAAGTCATTTTAACTTTGCCTAAATGTAAAATGTCACCAGTAGCCATTGTTAATTGTATATATAATGCATTGTGCTAAACGAAAGCTGTCATTTACATTTGGCATTACCTTTAGCCTACTCACAACTCAAATTTGTTGAAAAAAACGTTACCTATTTATATCTGCAAATTTAGGAGGAGCTACTGACCTTATTGTGAATGAGTGTGAGCCTTAATTCAGGTTTTATAATGGCGTAGGCCAGCAGCAGGTTCTGCACCTTCTTCAGTTCTTCCTTGCACTTCTTGGTTGTGGAATAGTACTGTCGTCTCACTGGAAGATTTTTGAAAAGCTTCAGGACACTCACTGTTGTTCCTGCAAAACACAAAGAGCAGAGGTGTGCAACAGATTGTAGGATAAGAGGGTTTTTAAGCATCAAGGCTAAATGACACAAATAGACTACAGTGTTTCCCCTACCATTGTCTTGGGGGGGCGCTGCGCCCCGCCAACGGAGCCCTGCGCCCCCCCTGAAATTCAAGGTGTTTTTTTTAATATATATATATATATATATATATATATATATATATTAATATATATATATATATATATATATATATATATATATATATATTAATATATATATATATATATATATATATATATATATTAGGGCTGTCAGTCGATTAAAATATTAATCGCACAATGTCCATAGTTAATCGCGATTAATCGCACATTTTGTATCTGTTCTAAATGTACCTTAGACTCAGAGGAATATTTTTCAAGTTTTTAATACTCTTATCAACATATGAGTGGACAAATATGCTTTACGCAAATGTTTGTTTATTATCATTTGAACAATGACAAATATTCTCCTGAATATTCTCAATACAACAACCTGGAGCCTCTCTCTCTCTCTCTTTCACTCTCTCCCAACCCTGTCTACTTCTCTGCACTGAGCCAGTTGCTCAAACAGACAAGCCTGTTTACAGTTGTCGGCGAAATGCCGCTCCTCTGTCTTCATAACAGTCAAAGCATGAGACTGAAGTTCCCACTGTGGGTCAAAATAATGCGCTGTGATGTGCAGTCGACACGTTGGATGCGATCCGAATTATCTAACGCAGCCCCTCGTCCTCCACAATGTTAAGCTGTAGCCACCCATTTAGTTATCGCTGTTGTTGTCCAGGCGTCTCCCCGGCAAACTTTCAAGCGTGGTCTGCCGCAAGCGAGCGGCAGGAGCGGGGCTGTCGGCATCAGCTGTGTGCTTGGCTTGCTGTTTAAAACGCCTTTTTTGGTATCCATATCTCTCGCTAGAATCTTCCACCATCCACCTAACAACAACAACAACAACAAGCCTTTGGGCTCTGAAACTAAGGGCGGGCAGAGGACAAATACACATGCGTTAATCGCACGTTAAAATAATTAGTGGCGTTAAAACATTTTTGCGTTAACGCGTTAACTTGACAGCCCTAATATATATATATTTATAAAACGGACAAGTCAAATCAAGCAATCTGATTGGTTCTTAGCCGTGATATACTGAGCGTATACCACGGGTAGAATTGTAAGTTACTTTTCACAACAAGTCAGTATCCCTCCGCTTCTGAGAAAAACAGTATACAGTTGGGCTGAAAAGCAAACTGCCTGCAGCTAAGGGGGTTGTCGACCCTCCGCTTCGCGTCGGGCCGAACCACGCTCCTTAGCTGTAATATAATGAGCATATACCACGGCCTGTCGTGAGCTATTGCTTGAATATATATATATATATATATATATATATATATATATAGCACCACATTGCCCCCCCAAAGCTGTAAACCTAGGGTAAACACTGGACTAACTGGTTAGTGTTCAAGGTGTGTGTTTTTCTGTAATAATATTACCTCTATCATCAATCATTTTAAGTTATCCCTTGATGGATAGTTTGGATGTTTTAAAGTGAGGAAGTATGAGGTCAGTGTTTTACCCACAGTAGCTATAAGGAGAAGTCAGCATCAAATCCTATTTAACCACCCAAAAGAAAATCAATATCCCACAGCAAGGTAAAGCCCCAACTATATGCTTTAACTTACAAAAACGTATCATTCACAGCAAGTCACAGCTGTGTCAAGCTGCATTGGTTTCTTTAAATAACAAACACTGATTGCAATGAATGTAGTTGATATAACAATTGAATCTTATACTTATTTGACTGTTATCATGTGATAATGTGCCACTCCTCACAGCAGAATAGAATAGAGTAGATACTGAAATTAGCAGCCCTATGTACTCCATCCAGAATCATTTCTGAATTAAGAATCCATATTGAAGCGAAATTGGATTCGTAGAATAGTAGATCCAGAAAGATTCAAACCCAGAGTGACTCCAACTTCAGTGACCCACTCTACTATTATTGTATAAAGCTGTCTTTGATTTTGGCTGCTCACTAAAGACGGATTGAATTATTTGTGTCTTGCCTTGACCCAAGTGAGACGGCTTCTGAGAAACAATCTGTCCTGTGAAGTTCAGCGTGTACTGTGTGCTGATGTCCTCCTCCTCTGTCTTTGTGATGACAGCCACCTGAAAGGAGAAGAGTACAATAAAACATCAGGCTGCCAACCATCACACTTTATATGCTGTAATAAACCAGGATGTATATTTCATTCTTAATAAAACTGATATGCTTAACAACCACCTTACATTTATAATATTATAATTGACACAAAAGTGAGAATTGTGTTAAATTATTGTATGTATATGTAAAACTTGTACACATTTTAGAGCAATATGTATCACACATGCTGACATGCACGCACGCATGCAAGCACGCACCACTGACAACACTGTTGTGCAATAATCTTTGCTTATGTTCAATATATATTATTCTTGGCTGCTACTTCATTATTTCAAGCTGTAACAAAACTGTTGTAAAATAACACATTCTTACAATATATTAAAAAGGCTCTATTAGGCTTTTTGGGGTTTTCCCTTTCCTGTAGCAGAGCCAGCCAGCTAACCAATCAGAGACTGGGCTCTGGTTTCAGACAGAGGGTAAAAAGACAGGCAGTATTTTGTCAAGACACAAAATACAAATATGAACCTGAGAATGGGCATACAAGGGCCCCTTTAATGTCACTCATAGCTGCTACTTTACTTCTTTTATACGTTAACTTACTGCTTTTTGTTTATATTTTTTACCATGGGTGTGTACTTATTTGATTTATATTCATGTTATGAGCTTGCCTCTTTTTTAATATGCTAGTCTCATTTTATTTGGACTTGTATATGCATTGTCCCCTTGGCTGTAACTATGTAAATGTGCTGTGCGACAAATAAACAATTTCCGATTCTAATAACACGGTCCCATTTGCCTATTCTGATCTGACTGTAATATAATACAGACACGTTGGTGAATAGTTGTCACCTCGGCCACAGCACAGATGGAGCCCAGTGCCTCTCCTCTGAAGCCGTATGTCTCCAGTCGCTCCAGGTCTTCGTGGCAAAAGATCTTTGAAGTAAAATGTGTCAGAGCCATCACAGGAGTGTCTTCAGCTTTGATTCCATGGCCGTTATCACGCACTTCTATCCGGTCCAATCCGTAGTTCTCCTGCAACGTGAAATCCAATAATAAAATGTAATCTGCCTTAGCAAATGAAAGGGAAATCAAAATCAGCGTTGTGAGTTCTGAAGACTTAAAGAACACGTTTACCTGTAATAAAACGCCAATTTACTCTTCAATCATATTTTCAAAATGAATTTCTACTGTACCAGTTTAATGTCAAGGCTTGTAGCTCCAGCATCCAGGGAATTCTCCATCAATTCTTTCACAACATTCAGCACAGAGGTGATGACCTGTGAGCTGGACAGCAGCCGCACAGTATCTGGAGGCAGCTGCTTCATGATTTTAGGAACCTGTTGAAGAAAAGTCCTGTTTCATTGTGGTTCTTCAGCGAATTGCACTCGCAAACCATGGTCACAACATCAGCCAGACATGTTGGACACACAACAACCACACCACACACACACACACACACACACACACACACACACACACACACACAACACACACACACACACACACACACCACACACACAACACACACACACACACACACACACACACACACACACACACACACACACACCAACACGACACATCACACACACACACACACACACACACACACACACACAACACACACACACACACACACAACACACACACACACACACACATCCACACACACACACACACACACACACACTACACACACACACACACACACAACACACTGTATGTTGCACTGTTTGAGGAGCCTGAGACTTAAGATCTTCAAATGGAACTCATTGCCAAGCTACCTCGCTGAAATAGAGTCCAGAGCCTCTTTCAAGAAGAGATTGAAGGGCCATTTACTAATAACCATGTACCCTTGTGAGCTGTGAACCCTAATTGAATTTGATCTCATGCTTTGTGCTGGTGGGTGTCTTGTGCACTCATCCTTGGCTGAGATTGATATTGAAAGTGGATGAGATGGTTGATGATGTTGGAAATTGTTGATGATATTGGTGATGTTGTTAATGATGTCAGGAATGATGTCTTGAATGTTGTTGTATTATTGTTGTTGTATTGTTTTAAGTGTCGGACCCCAGGAAGAGTAGCTTTTGTCAAGAGCAAAAGCTACTGGGGATCCTTAATAAACATAAATAACTTCGCTGTAGCTGTTGTGCATAATACAATAAAGCCTTTTAATCTTGAATGATGTGAGACAAACAAAATGTGCCTCATTGTCCATTTGTATTAATTAGCCAGCTTGATATTGATATATTCTAACATAGAGTCTTGATATCTAATGGCTATTTGTTTAAGATCATATAAATTATATTCTTTTTTTTTAAACAAATGAGTGCCTCGAGTTACTAAGACCTCTGAAATGACAGGCCACTGACACAAGACAATCAAGTTACTTGTATTGTATTGAAGTGAACATGTATTGCGTTACAGACTATGGTTACAGATGATTGATTACCCATTTCCAATGAGTACTGTTAATGTTGTATTAACGTCATGACAGCAGAATGTCACCTGAAATAACGTTACCTGATAGTGGCAGTCAGTGCCAATGTCAGTTCAATCAAGTTATCTTCTTTCGGCCATGACACAATTTGGTCGGAAGAAATGTAATAATAAAGAGAAATGTAATTAAAAATAATTGAATTGCGTTTAAAGTAACATTAAGGTTACATTTACTTAGGTTAACGTTAACCTAAGCTAATTTAACGGCTCGCGACTTACTTGAGTAGACTCGTTAGCTTAAAGATAACAACCTTATCTCGTGCCAAATTACGTGGCGACTTCACACAATTAGAACCTTAATGTAACATATTAAATAGCAAGGCAATGCAGTTTCCATAAAGACTTACTGAAGAGTTATTCTGACTGCAACCCCTGTTGAATCTTTCATAAACAACAGACACGAGCTACACGGCGGAAATGATTTGTTCCCGCCCCCTTAACTACACGCTCATTTGCTAGAAGCGACACGAGGGCGGGATAAAGTAAAATGGGACATCTCTACCCTGAGTTAGAGCTTACAGGTACATACTTTAGTATGTGCTTTTTGTAAGATTGCCTTTCAAAAATCAACCAGGCTTTTACCCTTATTTTCAACACATACAATATAAACCTTAATATAACAATTTGGTTCGTTTAACTGGTTGGGGCATAGGTGTATAAAGTTAGGGGGCGGGACACAGCCTGAGAAGTTTCTCCCGCGAATCCTCAACACCGCAACTACTTCCGCTCAGGTCAGTGTACGACGTTCGGTCTGGGCTGGTGAACTGCACACATCAACAAGGAGATAAACCATTTCTCTCCATAGCAGCTTGTTTCTATAAATACCTCTACTGCTCGCTACTACCTGTAAGTTTGCAGTGTGGCTGTGTGAGTGTTCAATGTTATACTTTCAACCACATAATGTGTCTTAATGCTTCTTCTTTACGTAATGAGGCTTAACAACTTGGTTTAGATTAGTAGTGGTTTGGTCTGGGCTATGTACTGGATACGACTGAAGGCAGTCCAAGGCAGGGGACGTCTCGTGTTTACATGTCTACCTGACAGGGCAAGATAGCCATTAAAACAAAGATAACGTTCAGTTCACAGTCAAGAAGAAGTTTAATCACTTTGTTCACTCAGCTAATGGTTCAGCTATTGCTACAAATTTGAATAGGCTAAATCAGTGACAGTGGTTTAGTACCAAAGTATTATTTCTATGCAACTTTAGACATATATCCTCTAATGAGGCTTTTCTTTTGTCTGAATTTCTGTCGTTGCAGATAGCTTCATGTAATACTAGGTGAATGTGACTAAATGTTATTTATTCGCAGTAGAACATAGTGTAACCCGGCTGGTAACATGATGACATCGACAGCTGGATGTTTGCATGCACCATGCCTCATTAGGAATATGGACGAAAGTCATCATTGCCTTTGAACTTAAGTCGACCCGTTATCTGTACTCCAGTCTGCAGCTGAAAGTGTGCCAGAGGGTAAAGTTCATGCAGATTGCAATGTCTGTGTTTTTTGTTATCACATTTGGACTTGCAGGGAATGCATAGCGCTACACTTGCTTTTTGGTAAAATAATTTGCATCTTCAGACAAAGGTATGGCATATAGAAAATTGTGAATATTACATTTCTATTTTTCCTGCAGGAACTGTCTATTATCACGTTTATTATAGAGCTCCTTAAATGTTTTAGGATTGTGGTATTTGGAGCTTGTATAACAGTTAGTGCTTATTGTGTCAAAATCTGATTAATGAATATTACCTCAAACATTTATCTGACATTTTAAACCTTTTAGAACTTTATAAAGACCAGCAAATTAACACATTTATTTTGGGTTAAAACATTTTCACCCCATTTATTAGCTTGACAGACATTCCCAAAATATGAATTTTTATTATGAGGGAACTTCTTGCAATAGGTGACGGGGAAGAAAAGACCAATACTTATGTGGCACAGAAGAGTACACTGATTTGTGAATATCTCTGTTTTCTGTTCCCAGTGCAGAATGAATGTGGGTGTGGCACACAGTGAGGTGAACCCGAACACTCGGGTCATGAACAGTCGAGGGATCTGGCTGACCTATGCTCTCGGGGTTGGAATACTTCACATTGTGCTCTTGAGCATTCCTTTCTTTAGTGTGCCGGTGGTGTGGACCCTTACGAATGTCATACACAACTTTGTAAGTCACAGTCTCACACTTTCATTGCTGCTTTGCACGCTAAAATACTACACTAGCTAATCAGGTCATTTTTAAATAGCTTTATCAATGCATCAAATGTTATTTATTTATATAGCCCACTATCACACATTACACATGTCTCAGAGGGCTTTACAGTGTACAACATATGACACCCTCTATCCTTAGACCCTAAGTCAGACTATCCAAATTACAGAAATTATAATATATATAAAAATCAGGATTCAGCTTCGGATTACACATTTTTCTCTGAATTAATGAGCGAAACAGAATAGCTTTTCTCAGAATAAATATAACTGCAACTAGAGATATTTTCAGTATCAATTCATCTACTGATTATTCTCTTGATAAGTATAGTAGATAACAACAACAAAGTGGGGAAAAAAAGTCAGAGCTGAGTCTTGTTTTGTCCTCCCAAAATCATATTAAGAATCAGAAACAGATTTATTGCTAAGTAGGAAACACATACGAGGAATTTGCCACGGCGTATTTGCTGCCTACATAAACACACTTCAGGAAGATACATTGTAAGACAAGGACCGTGAAATAAAACAGGATCAAAAACGACTGCCAGTGTTATCATGAACAACACAGTGTTTGCATAGTGTGCATTAATGTCATATTCCGTTTACCATGATAATCAAGGGATATTTTAAGTAACATTTTGAATAAAATAAAATGCAGTTGTAGCCTCACAAGCCGAATGAATCTTGCATGCATGCTCAGCACACAGCCTGGTGTGTGTTACCTTCTGCCTGTACTTGTGTGTGCTTGTTGAGATATGCTCTATTTTTGGGGAGGCTGTCCTTGTGACCTATTATGATCATTTCCCCACTCCACATCAAGAAAGAAAAATGACCATTCATTGTTACAAGGCTGGCTTAAAAATAAGAAACAAAGTCCATGTGTGTGTGACATCAACAAGTCGTGCAAGCTGCAGGCAGTTTACAGGGATTGTGTATCAGCAGCCGGTACATGAGGCTATTAACAGTAGCTGCCAAGGTCAACTAAGGCTTATTGTTTGTCACACACTACAGCTGCAGTGGGCCGATTAAGACAGCATTTTAGTTGTATTACTGTGTAATGCACGTTTTCTATTTCCAACTGCATTCTTTCGTTTTTTACCTACAGTAGGGGCATCGGATTGGAAAGTATAATTCCCAAAGAATTTAGCCATAAATCTTCGATTTTTCCTGTGTTTTGAACATGTATGCTCAGGCAGGAACTGGTATGTTTCTGTTGGGAGTCTTTGTGCAGCTCACTCTCAACACTCCTGCAGAAACCAAGTTATTGTTTTTATCCAAGCTAGTTTGTCAGATAAGTAAGTTGGCGTGAATTTGTTTTTGTTGAGTTTTGAGAATCTGCAACTAGAGATTTTTGTCACCATCGATCAATTTGCTGATAATTCATTCATTCAGCAAACGGTGATGTAGAATTCTCTATATGGCCCTTTAGTTTTAGTTCTAGTCATCGAAGCTATTGCCTCTCCTCTCACTCCTCTGTCTCATGCAGGCATTGGAGCCCCACAGCTGTGTCTTGGTATGACCCAGAGAGTCGATTTGGCATGACCAAAACATTCATAAAACAAGCTCTTCATTTGATAATAACAGGACCAAGCTGACGCACAGTGTCAGAGAGCAGTAAGCGATAACTCCCTTCTCGGAACAGAGCTAGCTTTGACTGGTAATCAAATGTGAAGAAAACTTCATCAGCTGTTCACTTCGTGGCTGCAGCAAATGTCTTTGTCAATTCTCCGGCCATAACATCCAATAAACGTTCATCCGTTCCAGCTCTCCAGTGTTCTCCTTGTGTTCCGAGTCCTTGATCCAAACGTTTCATTACAATTGCTACTTAATCATTTGGTGTTTCTACAGTTTCTCAAAGTCCACGGGAATGTATTTAAATATCTTGTTTTGTGAGTCCAAACAACACCAAACACTTTTAAATATGGCAAAAAGCAGGAAATCCTAATTTGTGAATATTTAGAAAGCACTACGATCAGAAACGTAACATACTTTACACAAAAAAATCTCTGGAAACATAATTTTTTGGAATTGTGAACATCATTTCTATTCTACAATATTTTAAGTTTAAATGGAGATGTAAACAGAGATGTCATCAGTGTGCTATGGTGTATGTTAACAGATTGTTAGCCCTACATTATCAGCCATGTTCTTGTCTCTACAGGGGATGTATGTGTTCATGCATGCAGTGAAGGGCACTCCCTTCGAGACCCCTGACCAGGGAAAAGCCAGGCTGCTCACACACTGGGAACAGCTTGACTACGGCGTGCAGTTCACCTCATCTAGAAAGTTCTTCACCATCTCCCCCATCATCCTGTATGTATTACATATCATATGGTTGTGTCTTTACACTGATTTAGATAAAGGAACATTTTTAATATATTTATCAAATCCTGGGTCACACTGACTACCAAACAAAAAAGAAAGCATCTATAAAAATGTTGACCATGACAACACCATTTAAGGTATAATATGCAATTTTGTATGCATTCAAATATTGTTTAAACAACTAGACCTTTAATATATTTTGTACTTACATTATCCCAAATGGTTACAACAATTTTCAGAGAAATATGTAAGTTAAATCAAGGTAACGTATTTCATTTGGTGTCCTGTAACGTTGTTGTGTCCTCCGTTAATTCATTTTTAACAATACACTTTTTTAGATCCTGCATTCTTTTAACACTATATTTAATCGGATTAAGGACTTAGTCATTGGACATAGGGATGTTAAGTCATCAGAGAAGCAAGCTGAGCTAACGTTAGCCACGGCTCTGCTCTCAGCCCTATCTGTGTGACGAACAGCATCGGAGAAACAATTACTTTTATCATGGAACAGCTTTATTTAGTGTTTTACTGGTTTTCATCACCATGTCTGTTTGTTTTGAAGAGGAGACCTCTGAAGATAACTTCAAAGCTGCTAAAAGTCTCCCGAATGTCTGGATCTAAAGTTGTCACAAACCCAATGAGCAAACGTTAGCTGAGAAAAACACTGATTCTTAACATGAAACTGATTTATTCAGTGTTCTTATCAGTTTGAATCAGTATTGGGAAAGAGCAGACTTCAGCATATAATTGTGCAATAACTTCAGAGGTGTTGTAGTCAACGACTCCCATGATCCCACACTACTTCACGACATGTCCAAACTCTGTCTTTTGTTATAGTTTTGTAGTTGTAGTTCAGAGACCCATGCATCAGGAAAATGACATATTGTTCATTTTAATGCTTTTGAACAATCAGAAAACTGTGGGTTTGTCTTGCTACCACTTAAGCAGGGATATTTGATTTCCTTTTTTAACCATTTGTTTTGCTCCACAGATACTTCCTGGCAAGTTTCTACACAAAGTACGACACGACACACTTCGTCATAAACACTGCCTCGCTTTTGAGCGTCCTGATCCCCAAGCTGCCACAACTACACGGAGTGAGAATCTTCGGCATCAACAAGTATTAAGTTATCGTGAGCACTGTGCCTCATAGCAGCAGAAGTGACTTCCTGTGTAGTGTGTGCCTCCGATGTGTGTACCGAGTCGTACAGTTTGTCGTCGTTTAGATGTATCAGATTGAGATGAAAAGTTTCAAAGGAAGGCAGGAGTAGGTTCGTAGAGATCAGGATGCCATATGCATTACTAACTTATGTGAATATGTAATGATGTATTTTTGGCCTGCATAGACCTGGGCTGGCCCAGGCATCAGTGAGGCTTTTGGTTGTTTCTTTTTTTTTGCCCTCAGTTCACATGGCAACACAAACTGGGTGTATGTCGCTAGCCACAGAGAAGCCCCAAATGTATTTTTCAAAGATGTTTACTTCCTAAGGGTGAGGGGCCGGTGGCTCGTTGTTTTATTGGTACACTCTCATTTTGTAATGGGTGTCAAACGTATTCATGCTGAGTGAAGAATGGAATCATACTCTTTATTTGCACAGTTGCCTTGGTATGTGAATCATTTGTAGCTCAATCAGAACAGGGCAGGTTGTTTTCATTGTACAGATTTATTTGTGAATATTATGTCCTGTATGTTAAAGAAGAAGTCCTGTGTTTAGAAATAAGAGGATATGTTGTTTACTGAGGGAGGCCGACAGTATCTCTGTGATCCACTTACATAATGTAGCTGCTTTTCTTTAGATTATGACTTTGCTTTGCTCTCATCAAGGCAGCTAGTTCTGCTTTGTTTGGCCATAGCCATTAGCTCTTGATATGTTTTGTTCTTTAATCTTATTAAAATGTTTGAGCCCTCAAACTTTCTTCAAAGATTCTTCTTTAATGGCTGAGTAATGCAAGGACAAGATATCATCGGGAATGTAACAACAACTTGTTGGTACTTTTCTGAGACTATCAGTGCATTCTACACATGGTTTTCTTTAAAAAATAATAAAGTATTCACAAATTTGATGCGAGCTGTTCTGATAATAAACTTGAAGGTCAGTAGAAGGCTTAATTTTTGACCTGAGAATTAAGACTGGTAGACCTGGGTTTACCAAAAAAGCTTTTTTTATATACATTCCACAGGATTAACATGAGAGAGCTTTGTATACAACGTCTGAATTATTTTTGACACGCTTGGAAAGATGCTGCATTCGGTCAGATTCCACAGAGAAAAAGGTCAAATGTACACACTTGAGTCATTGCACTGCAAACAAGGGGAGAAAAAGAGCCTCTTCAAATCCTGATACATCAAACTTTACAAAACTCAGATAGACATTTATCATTTTGCATCAGATTTAATGAAACATGCTCCATATCGGATCATCTGGACCTATGCATGTCTGCACAAAGACTTAGACAAACTACGGCAAATCTCTCAGCTTTCAGAGTCACTGACTTGCTCCTTCAAACAAGCCTTTAAATCACAGGGAGGAAAGGCAGACCTTTTTTGGGTTTTCTAAAACATGGCGTCAATAAAAAAAATTAGGGCTGCACAAAAAAATACTTTGTATTTTTGACCTAACTCCAATTATAATAATATGGGGATTTATCATTTTTCATTCAAAATCATATTTATACATGTTTAGCCTTTAAAAAAAATTATGTTTGATTTGAATATTGCTATAGTTCATATTGCAATACCGATTCAATTATGCAGCCCTAACAACAATAACCAAAAGATTAAAAACTTTATTTAAAGGAAATGCTGATGTAAAAAAGTGTATTCTACAGTCGACCTGTGACAGCTCCAATTGATCCAAACTTAAACTGATCCGTTAATAATCCACCTTCCTGTAAACCTCCACTTTGGATGTCAGATCCTCACACTGCTCTCCCAGCACTCCTCTGTAAACCTCAAAGTGATGGTTCAGATCTTTCTGCGTGTGGATTTTATATTTTCTCCCTAAGGCCCCGTCGGCAGAGGCTGTCCCATAGAAGACCCGCCCTATCCGGGAGTGGACGAGAGCCATGGCACACATGATACAAGGTTCACGGGTCACGTAGAGGTCGTACCCAGTGCAGATGTATGGCAGAGAGCTGGGAGTGCTTTGAAAGGTATCCGAGGCTGGGGGAGTAAATGTACAAGCAGGGTATTGGTCAAAATAATAACTCCCGCCGGCCTGGCTACGTGCCACGAGATCAATGCAGACCATGACTGCATGATGGAGGGGGTGGTCTCCTCTGCAGTCATGGCCCACTGCAATGACCTTCTCTGTTGATGGGTCCACCACCACGGCCCCCACCGCGTCCATCCCCAACTCACTTCCTGCTTTGGCCGCAGTCAGAGCAGACATCATGTGCATGTGCATACTGGCCTTCTGAGGTGCAGTGAACAGCTCCCCCCTCAGGGCCACCGTCACCTGTTTGTCCTCATGGAAGGAGGTGGGCCAGTGTTTGCCCGCCTGCTCAAACTGGGGGCGGGTCAAGGGGGGACGTGCAGGGATCTTAACCCGAAAAGGCTCACCCAAGGCGTCATGTTTCACTCCTGAGGGGAGCAGAGAGTCGATGCTCAGAACCTCCATGTGTGGTGCGTCCCTGACAAGACACAGGAGGACCTCCAGAGGGTGGGGGCTGCCCTTCACCGTCCGCACCCTCTTGATGTGCTGAAGGCCGCTCATTGGGTACAGGCTGCTCAGCTCGCGGAGAAGTCGAGATGTCTCCTTCTTGTTGAGCACGGGTGCAGCAAACGCCTCCACCAGCTCCAGGTCTTGTGACTGCTCATCCGACAGCACAGGGTAAACTGTCCAGGAATCAGAGCCACACTCGGAGCCTTTCCAGCGCTTCCTCTGGGGCTCCATTGTTTTGGCGCTCTCCTGTGAAATATGATTTTGCACCAGAGTGAAACAGAAGTCAGTGCATTTTCAGGACAGCACATGATGACAAAGCCTTTAAGTTGTGTGGGGACAGAAACTAAGCCTGGTCTATACAAAATGACAGCTTGAGGCCAAAAGACATTTGCATTATGAGATTTCCATAACAGAGATCAACCAACAGGCTTTTCCAATACTGATTATATATTACCTGCCAATTCTAGATTAATGATTTTGTCCATAAAATGTAAAATCGTCGTGAAAACCGGCGATCCAAATTTCTCAAAATTGTTATGTCTTATTTATGGTTTGGTCCAAAACCAAGATATTCACTTCAATATTATTTTTGAAATAAAGATCAGAGAACAGTAGGAAATCTCCATATTTAAAAAAGGAGCTTAAAACAGCACTTTCGCATGAAAAAAAACTGACTATAACATCAATCGTTTAACAAAACACTTGCTGGCCCAACAGTTAAGGAATATTTGTTTGTATAACTTCAAGGATTACAATGAATTTGTAATGAATCCCAGTGTTTCCCCTACCATTGTCTGTCCTGAAATTCAAGGTGTTTTTGACCCTAAGAAACACTGATGCATTAATCAATAACAATAATCTACAGCTCCTCTCTCTGCTCCAGAGGATTTCAAAAATATATATCCCAATGCCACCCCCCACCCACGCTCGCTCGCTCAGCTGGCACCCCCCCAAAGCAGTAAACCTAGGGGAAACACTGAATCCTATACTGCCTTGTTGTATTGTTTTTATATACATTTCTAAAGTAAAATTAAACAAAAAGTACATTGCATTTGAAGGTGTAGTTGAAATAAAGTGGATTTCTAGAAGAGCTCAAACAATACTCTATTTTTGAGTCCAACATTGATACACCTGAATTGGCCATTATTCTTTAAAGAATGATTGAAATTGCCAATACTCTGTAGTCGTGTCAGATTTTGGAGTTACCTCAAACATTTCCCTGCATTTCTGTACTACAATTACTCATCTGCCGATACTTATGATATAGCGGAAATACATTTTAAAGTAAACATTTATACACGAAGCAGCACAACCAATACCAATTGTTTATCCATTTTATGCTCAAACAAGAGTTGACAAATCAATACAAAATAATTCCAGTTATAAGACCTGAATAATTATTACAGACATTCAGCTAATGCAAATACCAAACAAAATAAAAATGTCTCTTCTTCAATAGATATTTGCAACAAAGATGCCATACACCCTCAAAGGGGCCCCATTATGCTTTTTGGGGTTTTCCCTTTCCTGTTGTGTGTTATATAGGTTTTAGTGCATGTAAATGGTCTGCAAAGGCCAAAATCCCTGTGTTCCCTCCAGAGCGTGTTTAAACAATTTATAGTTGCAACTATATTGTATTGTTGCCTTTGATAATGTTGAGATTAAAATGACTGAAGCAGCGAAATTACTTGATACATTTAACAAAGCTGAAGTGATACAATACAGACAACTTGTATAAAATAGAACTGATAAGCATCCTGGCTGAGACTAAACTAGATGGTGTCAGTGGCAAACACAACATATAGTACCATAGCAAATATTAGGTCTTTCTTCATTTCCTCCCCAGTAAAAACTTTGCCTTCATAACTTTGGGCACGTGTCGTATGGTCAGTGACACTCTGGTGCCTCGGGTCAGTGTCTCTCCTGGCTGGGCCCCGGCAGCAGACAGGTTCAGCACCTTGTCCGTCAGCGTGTCCTGTCCCTGGGGCCGGATGCCGTGAAGGAGACGCTGGTACATGTCCTCCTGCAGGATCAGAAGACTGCGCGGCTTCACCAGCAGGGAGAAGAGGAAGCGGCTCTCCTCCGTCTGCGGTGCATCATCCTCCCGGCTGCTGACGGGCGTGTAGAAGTCGAGCAGGGTGTGAGAGCCCAGGCTGATGGTGGTGACAGTAGGGTGGTATAGAGGGCCGTCCTCATGAGGCATAATCCCTTCCCCTTGTTTGTACTCGTTCACCAACACATGATTGGCCGTTTTCCCACTGAATGCACCAAGAGAGGAGATTTTCTCAAAGTAGGTTTGGAGCCAGTCAGGAATCTTTTCTGCCAGCATGCCTTTGGGGTGTGGTAACCCTCCCCAGTTCTGAAGCCGTCTGCCTGACAGCTGTGTCCATTTAGTTTTGGGAGAGTTAAACACTTTCTGTTGAAGGTAGGACTCCTCCTCTTCCGATATGAAATCTGGGATGTAATACACTGTTGGTGGGGCCTCATTTACGACATACCGCTTCAACTCCTCCAAAATACAAGCTGGGTGTTCCATGACTCCTTTAGAAAAGTCAACATGAAATGCTTGTTAAAACCCAGGTTAAAAGAGGGCTAATGCTAGCTAAAGCTCCCTGGTCATGGCAGAAAGTGTACAACAGCCTTGTTTAAAAAAACTACTTTACAAAAGTCATTATTATTCACGATCTGAAAAGAAACTTAAATTTCACCTAAATGCTATCAACAGGATTTCCCTCATTAATCGCAGCAGTAATATTAGGACGTAATCTGAGGAATTAAAGTGTATTTTGATAGCATTAGCAACATTCAGCTCCCCCAAACACTTCAAATACGTTTATGTCTACAGCACAATAAATACAGTAGAGACAGAATCAAACCGATTGTATGACACATTACACATTTAAGGACATATGAAAAAGTACTGGTTTGTTCACATACAAATTAAAGTAAGGACACATTGAATTGTTGTATATCTTAGTTTTAAAAAATGATTTTACTCTAATTAAGTGTATTAATTCAAGTTTACCAAAAAGTTGCTTAATCAGGGTTTTTGTTTTCCCCCCCTATTTATTAACCCTTAAATCGCACTTGTCTGATGCCGTGAAATCCAAGAGACATTTCAAAATGTTATGAGTTATTTCAGATATACAAATTAGAATGTTAATATGTTGCCTTCAAACAACCAGAGATGGAAGAAGTACTTAGTACTTAGTACTTACTATTTACTTAATTAAAAGTAGCAATACTACGGAGTACAAATACTCAAGTAAAAGTCCTGTATTCAAAATTATGCTTAAGTATAAGTGAAAAATAATTAGCATACAAATAGAGTATCAATTTTGCAGAATGGACCATTTTAGAACCATATATTTTTATTAATGAATGTATGTGTTCATCACTTCAATGTTGCACTTGGGAAAGGTGGGGTTTATTTGAATTACTTGATATACAACTGGTGAGGCTTTTCTTTTTTCATTTATATTTTGTATTAATAATCTAAATCTGCAAAGTTGTTAGTAACTACATTTGTAAAATAAATGTAGTGGAGTAAAAACTACATAATTTGCCTTCAAAATGTAGTGGAGTAAAAGTAGCATTATGTGAAAAATACTCAGTATCTAAAGTACAAGTGTACATGTCTGACTTAAGAACAGCTCTTGGGTAAATGTACTTTGTTACATTCCACCACTGTAAACACTGAGCACGGCATTTATAGTAACCGTGAACGCAGCACAGCCAACTGCTACATGTAAAAGGCTGATTTCAATTTTTAAACACGCGCAATGTTTGTTACACACAGCACACACCAGCTACCCGCACATTATACAGTTGTAATGACAGTAAATCAACTTTACCTCTTCTGACATCAAAACGTTGAGGAAGCAGTCAGGCGCTGGACTCCATGCGCACGCATTTGTGCAGCCGACTAAAATGTCCCCCTAGAAAGTCATACATTTTTTGGACCTATCCTTGATTTTCTATACGATTCTTCCAGTTATTAGCTATGTGTATTTATAATTTAAGTTACCGTAATAATTATATATTTTAGGTATATTGCAAATGTTTGGATTAGTGTCTGTACTTTATCAGAGGTCACAAACTCGGTGGTGCACGGAATTATTTACATGTGACACAGCCACACGCTTTAGAGTAGCAGAGACAGAAAACAGTTTTCTGCTCGGAACTCAACAAGGTTGTTGTTTTGTCTGTTTTTTGTTAATTTCCTCGAAACCTTATGTCATGCCATTGCCGTTTATTAATGGAGAGAAATCAATGGGAAATGATGTGAGGTCACTATATTTGCCCCCCTATTTTAACTCCTACAAGAGGCATAACTATGTTCCCTACGAAAGTAAAAAGACTGCTACAGTTAAGAAACACATTGTGGGGCTGTGCTTCACTTAAAGCCCACTGCTCCAGACTGGTTTTGGGCATTGAGACAAGCTGTGATGACACTGGAGCTGCAGTTATGGATGAGACAGGGAAAATACTGGGGGAGTCTCTACACTCACAGAAAGAAGTCCATCTCAGGTGGGTGTCACATCTCCATTCAGGTAACAGGCTCACTGCTTTAGGTTTGTTTTCAAACCCACTTAGACTTTATTGTATGGGGTCAGACAAAATAAATAAATACAAACAGAATGTTGAGATATTTGTACTTCAGTATGTGTTGCTACTTTGCACAGGTACATTATTTCAATTCAATTCAAAACCTTTATTTATCCAGGTAAAATCCCATTGAGATCAATGATCTCTTTTTCAAGGGAGACCTGCAGCAGTAGGTTCCACAAGAAGACATAAAAACATAAACAACAGAACAACAAAAGGACATCATACAGCAAAATGTACAGGGATGACAATTTACATATTTAACCACAAGTACAGGTACCAACAGCATCTGATTTTGTAGCATCCAACCGAGCTTTAAAAACATGTAGTGGTACTAGCTTGGTAATTTTCCATTCTTTTTGCAGACTGTTCCATGTTAGTGGAGCTGCACATCTAAAAGCTTTCTTCCCTAAGACAGTCCTAGCACTTGGCACATTTAATAAAAACACAGCATGCGATCTCAGGCAATAAGTACTTTCAATTCGCCGAGAGATCAGGGAGCAGATATAAGATGGTAGTTTATCCAACATGGCTTTGTAAATGAAAAAGTACCAGTGACTGAGCCTCCGTACAGTAAGTGATGGCATAACCGCCTTGGTATACAGGGTACAGTGATGCGTAAGTGCTTTACAATTTGTCAAAAATCTCAGTGCACTGTGATACGCAGCATCTAACTTGCTCAGGTAATTGGAAGGTGCATTCATATATAACAAATCACCATAATCCAGCACAGGTAAAAAGGTCACAGTGACTAGCCTTTTCCTGGCCTCAAGCGAGAAACAGGACTTATTTCTGTAAAAGAAACCTAGCCTAACCCTCAGCTTTTTAAGCAGGTTATTGACATGAAGTTTAAAAGTGAGACAGTCATCAAGCCAGATACCCAAGTATTTGTAACAGGTAACCACTTCAAGTTGTATTCCTTGCGTAGTTACAATATCCAAAGCAGTCTCTGGTGTATTTTTAGCTTTAGCTTTAGAAAAGAGCATCACCTTGGTTTTATCCACATTTAAAAGAAGCTTAAGCTCAGAGAGCTGAGCCTGAATAATGTTAAAAACAGCCTGTAATTTAACAACAGCCTCGTTAATCGAGGGACCTGCACAGTACATAACGGTATCGTCCGCATAAAAATGTAAGGTTGCTCCTTCGACATTTTCACCTAAACTATTAATATAGATAGAGAATAATAGCGGACCTAAAACTGAACCTTGTGGTACACCATTAGTGATGTTTAACCACTCAGAAGACAGCCCATCAAACTGAACACATTGGGATCTTTCAGAGAGGTAGTTTACAAACCACCCTACTGCATGGCTGGACATGCCTATACTGACCAGCCTTTGCTTCAAAATGCGATGATCGACAGTATCAAAAGCTTTGGATAGGTCAACAAATAGAGCTGCACAACTCTGCTTATTATCTAAAATACTCGTAATATCATTTACCACTTTCATTGTGGCAGTGATGGTGCTATGTTGCTTTCTGAAGCCTGACTGATGTTTAGACAGGATGTCATTGTTACATAAAAACTCCTTTACCTGTTCACTCACTAAGCGTTCAAGAACCTTGGCCAGAACTGACAATTTAGAGATGGGTCTATAATTGTTTAATAAGGTGGCCTCCCCTCCTTTTAGTAGAGGAAGGACATAAGCTGACTTCCATACTTTTGGGATTTTGTTCGTGCTGAGAGAGAGGTTAAAAAGAGTAGTAAGAGGTGGAGCAATAAAATCTGCAGCTATCTTTAAAAAGAAAGGTTCTACGTTGTCCGGACCAGCCGGCTTTTTAGGATCTAGCTTGGTTAAGACTTCACGAACAACATCAACAGTAAAAGGAGTAAAACTGAAGGGGTTTTCCAGACCACATTGTTCTGAGTCACCGACTGTGGTGTTCACAGAAACATAATTAGAAACAGAATGAAACAGAGAGCCACAGGACACAAAATGCTCATTAAAACAATTTAGTATGGTGGTCCTATCCGATATAGTGCCAGATTTACTTTTATTCCACTTCATTAGGATTGTAGATGCGAAATATAATACAATTTTTAGTTGCACCTGGAGTAAATGCACAAGCTTGCAGTATACAAAGTCATGAAACCTAGCTGCACCCTTACCAGCTTTGATAACACTTTAATGCATCGATCATTATAATCAAAACACATCATCTATATTAGTCTGAAATGGGCCAATCTGCAGAATGAGTATTTTTTTATGCCAATACTTTTCTACTTTTACTTGAGTAGTATTTTGTTTGCAGGACCTTTACTTGTAACAGAGTACTTCTACACACTGATACTTCTACTTTTACTTAAGTATAAATCTGAGTACTTACTGCTTGTATCTCTTCCCTTTTGAATACTGCAGGACTGGAGGCATCATCCCCACAGTGGCCCAGCAGCTCCACAGAGAGAACATAGAGCGGGTGGTGCAGGAGGCCCTTGAGAGGAGCCACGTGGCCCCCAGCCGGCTCTCAGCTGTGGCCACCACGGTGAAGCCCGGCCTGGGCCTGAGCCTGGGCATCGGGCTGGACTTCAGTCGGAGGTTTGTGAGGCAGCACAACAAGCCCTTCATCCCCATCCACCACATGGAGGCCCACGCCCTCACCGTCAGGATGCACCTGCCGGTTCCCTTCCCCTTCCTGGTGCTGCTGGTCTCTGGAGGTCACTCGCTGCTCGCTGTGGCTCGAGGAGTGGATGACTTCCTGCTTTTGGGTCACAGTCTGGATGAAGCTCCAGGCGATACGATGGATAAAGTAAGGTCATAAAGGGATTGGTCAATTCAAAATCAAATCAAAAATGTGTTTCCTCTTACCTGTTCTGCCATTTATTAATCAAGGTCAGGGGTTATTCAACTATTTGAGGCCAGGGACCCCTTACAGTGGAGACAATGAACAAGTGTTGGAGATGTCTTCCTTCCCAACATATTTATTTGATAGGTTTTTATTTTTTTGCGTATTTATTGGGTTTGTATTTCTTGAAAAAGACAATTATGTTGAAGTTTTAAAAAAAAAGAAATGTTGGCACCACAAGCCATTGAGTTGCATTATAATCAGAGAGAAAACTAGTTTCATAGAGATGAATAGCACTACATTTAACATGAGAAATATATATTTCATGATTTCAGGGTGAATTATTCCATTAACCCCAATATCATTTAGTTTTCATGTTGTTCAATTTGTGTATTTTAACTTAATGTATTATTTTTTCGGATTCAGGTTGCAAGGCGTTTGTCTCTCATAAAGCACCCACAGTGCTCCACACTGAGTGGAGGACAGGCTCTAGAGCTCCTAGCAAAGGATGGAGACAGGTCAAGGTTCCCGTTCAGGACCCCCATGGGACAAACGTACGACTGCTGCTTTTCATTCGCTGGGCTACGGAATCAAGTTAACATGGCGATAATGAAAAAAGAAGCAGAGGAAGGTATGAAGACACAATAGAGGTTTCTCAATACTCTAATTTCCCCTCCTCGACTCCTACCCTCGAGACTTAGTGCCGCCCACAGTAGATGCGAGCGGAGGACTGAGGAGGGGAACCGAGGAGAGAGGAGGGGAAGCAGCAGGTGGTTAGAGAAATGAGAACTCCTCTCCTCTGAGCGGTCATTTTAAAGAGACGTCCATTAATGATGACAGGAGGCACAGCAGCCCTCTGTCTGATGGACAGATGTGTTCATGACGACTTATATATTTACTTTTAATTCATTGACAGTGCGGTATAATGAGACAATAACAGGCTACAGATAAATATATACAATTTCAGAATCAAACAAGTATGAGAGCACTCTCATAATAACGTAACACAATCAGAGACTGGCTATATCCCCCCCTCTCTCTGGTCGCTGAAATGGGGAATTGCAATTACGGGCCAAAAGTTGTATTTTGGCCCATATTTGTATGTACTTGCACAAGTATTAGAAGTAAGCATAGGACACCAAACCAACTGAGACCCGTCTGTCCGCCGCATCTACGCACTGTACAACACACACACACCTACACACTGTACCACACACACCTACAGCTCCTAAAGCATAATCAGGCTACAGCCGTTGTGTATTTTATTATGTGAAGCACTAAATGGTCTGAGAAACATATTGACTCTTTGTTTGTAGATATCTACCAAACTACACCATACAAATACAGAGAGTAATGTAGGCTGAGTGATATATATATTATACACACTGCTCTGCTTTCTGCACGGACCTCACAGATGTTCTCACTGTAAACATTGCGTCGCGATGAAAGCAGCCAGTTACTAAAATAATATCCAGGGGATGCATGCAGAGCTGTCATTGGCTGAGATAAATCCGGCCGTG